ACCTAGAGTGATAGTTGTGTCTATCAAGGTGTGAGGGATGTGGACAAGTGGTCCCGAGGGGAGTCACAGACCACACATGCATTGGGAAGCAAAGAAACAGTTGTTTGTATTTTCACCTTTAAAGCTGAAAAAGAGCAGGGGAGTATACCTAAGACAACAAAAAGAAATAAATATAAACACATATAGAACATAAAATAAAGATAAGGTAATGAAAAAAATCAACAAAGCACAAGTTGAAGATCCACTAGTTTCACCTTGGTTTATTTTAACAGGTTGAGACGATTGTGGTAAGATGTAACTTAACCGTTAACTTTGTGAGGTCTGAAGTGCTTAGTTACCAAGCCAGATTCCTTAGTAGGCTGCTTCCACAAAGCTGTCAGCCTCAGGTTGCTGGAGTTCGAACCTCACACCTCTCCCGCTGGCCAAAAGTGCCCTGAAGGCATTCGAGGAAAAAAAAAAAAAAAAAAAAAAAATTCCTTAGTAGACCAAATTTTGTGTCTCTGAAGTGTTGAGATTTCCTTGATGTTTAAAGGAATATCTGTTCAGATAGCTTGAGTTTTCTTATAGGATTTTTAAAAAACTTTCCCCAGTAGTTTCAAATCCGCATGTCCTAGGCTTCTAGAAGTACATTATACTGAAAACTTGATGGCAGGAGCTGCACGGGCTTGTTTTCCAAAGAAAAGTAGTGTTTCAAGGGAGAAACAACTTCCTAGGGATACTGCAGAGCTCTTTCAAAAATCATTTGGAACAAGGCCTGTGAATGGAAGTGAGCACCCAGGTCACATTCTGCTAAGAGGTAATAAATAAAGCTGAGTTAAAAAAAAAAAAAGAATAAAGAAATACCTTAGGAGATTAATCAAGAGAAAGGAGAAAAGCAAATAATAACAGGAGTAAAAAAGGAATATAGATAAGAGACTAGAGAAGGTTAGAGTACTCTGGGCAATTCATGGAGACAAGCGATTAGCACCCAGTGAAACAGCTTCCTGCCGCTAACCTGGAAGAGACAGGTAAGTCATACATTCCCATCATTAAAGAAATAAATGAAGGAGGGAATTAAAACTGAACACACACAGAATCCCACAAAGCCTCATCAGTTTTAGAGGCAAATTCTACTCCCATACCCAAAGAGCAATGATCTTGGTCTTGTACAAATTGTTCTAGAAAATAGAAAACGAGTTCGTACTCCTTTATAAGACTTATATGAACATGATATCTAAACCAGACAAGATAGTAGATAAAGAAAAATTATAGTCCAAATTTGTGCCTAGGTACAGACAGGACATGCTCTAAATAAAATATAGACAAATTTAAATCCAATGATGTTAAAATTAACTAGGGTGGGTTTACCCACAAACACATGGATGTCTTAACAAGATATCCTAAGTATGTAATCTGCCAGATTAATGGAGTCAAACACATAGGACATAGTCAAAACATATAAGGGCTGGGGAGATGGCTCAGTGGAATAAGCGCTTCCTTGGCACGTGCAAGGGCCTAAGTTCAATTCCCGGTTCCACCAAAAAAAAAAAAAAAAAAGGAAAAAACATGTTTCACTTGTGAAAAAAATCTTTTTAACTAACTAGAAGGAATGGGAATTTCTACTTATAAAAGTTTTGACAAATGAGAGTAGACATTTCTATAAGTGGATGATTATCTACCCCCCAAAACTATAGCAAATATTATTTCTAAAGGTAAAAGGAGGGTCAGCAAGATAGCACAGCAGACTAAGCATCTGCTTAGGCAAACACAGGGACCAGGTTCCATCCCCAACACCACATGCCGCACTGGCCCCACCCTTGGGAATGCTGAGCCAGCCACAGAGACCAGGCGTGGTGGCGCATGACTGTAAACACAGCACTGGGGAGGCTCAACACAGGAGGATCACTACGAGTCTGAGCTGCGTAGTGAGACCCTGTACCAAATATATAAAACAAATGAACAGACAGAAGTGGAAAGGGGTTGGGGTTGGAACTTAGTGGTAGAACATTTCCCTTCGGTGTGTGAGGTGCTGTGTCAATTCTCTAGCAACCGGGGAACTAAGAAAAAATGCATGAAACTATAAAATTAGAAATCTTTGTTTTTCTCTCTTGGATGAAATGAACACATACTTGAATTACTTTTTTGGAGAGGGCTAGCAACAAAAGAGTCAAATGAGGATTAAAAAAGGTATTACTTAAAATTACAAACATTCTAGCAGGGTATGGTGGTACACATTTTGCAGTACTCTCTACTCAGGAGACTAAAGCAAAAGGATCACAAACTAACTAAGGTATTTCAAATAAACTGACTGTAACTTTAATACAGAAAGTGATAAACTATCTTAAAGGTTGTTAAGAGAAATTTTAATGAAGAGAAAACATCCGCCAGGGCTGGGAGATTCAATGCTGCAAAGATAGTCCTCCCAGGTGGATATATCAACTAAAAGCAATTCCAAACAACATTCTGATAAGAGTATTGTGCTGTGGAAACAGAAAAGCTGATTGCAAAATTTATACAGCAGAGCAAAGCATTAAGAATCATCAAGAAAATGTGGAAGAAAGAACAAAGTGAAGCCTTGTTTTGATATCTGTCCCCATTCAACTCTGAGCTCTCTATTCAGAATACAAGACCTCTGGGACATGCAGGACCAGTTCTCCACAGCATTGGAGCTTGATTGGGGACAAGGGACACCAAACACTCTTGGATAAAGGATAGAGGTTGGAAAGAAAAAGGACAACTGGTGAGGCCTGTGGGGAGCAGCAGGAACAGGCTCCCCCAGGTCTGTGTAGCCATTAGCATAACAAAGGAAAATTTAAAATTATAGAATATCAAGACATTGAGAAAGCGCCTGTAAGCAGGTGCAGGGGCTGGGGTTTGATCCCCAAGCCTGCCATGCTGGCCCCACCCCTGGGGTGCCCTGAGATGGCAATTGAGACTGGGTGTGGTGGCGCATGCCTGCGATCCCAACTCTCAGGAGGCTGTATACGGGCAAATCACTATAAGTCTAATCTAGTAGTGAGACCCTGAACACCCTGTAGACCCTTCCCTAAAATAAAAAAAAAAAAAAGGACACTGAGGAAAGAAGAATTCAAGAGACAAAGGCATAGGTTGAAAGAAAAAGGTGTAAAAGTTATTTGGTACTACACACATAAAGTCAGATGAAGAGACATATTTAGTGGTATATTCAACCATGAATCACAACCCAGAGCTCTGGCGGACTCCTACAAATTAGTGAAAGACCAGTAGCGCAAGGCAACATCTGCACACATTTAACAGTTTGTAGAAGTGGAGATGCAGAGGCCCATATATGAGCTTTGCCTCACTACAACCAGGGGATATGTGAATAAATTCCAGCATACTCCCTTACACAGGTACTGAGTACCTAGTATGTGTTAGCTCACATGCAGGCAGGGTTGGGAAATAGACCAAACAAATCGTAAATCCAGGAAAAACATGATAGGAAAGTCTTTAGGAGAAAAACACAGCAGGAAAATTGACACAGAATCAGAAAGCAAGTCTGCACTGGGGTGGGGCCGGGAGGCTTCTGTGGAGAGGCCAAGTGACCAGGATTCTAGGGGACCAAGGAGCAGTCAAGAACTGCTTGGTTCTTCCAAGGGTCAAGGATTGGATGGAGGCAGAAGATGGTCCAGGGCCTGGAAGCCCAGCAGGGCAGGGCTGTCAGAGCCCAAGTGTGCTTATTAAACAAGGAGAGAAAAAGAGAAAATCAGAACTACCCTTAGTGCCTCTTAACAGGTAAGCAAATAATTAAATTGTGGCAAAAAATGAAGGTGTATGAACAAAACTGAGGTGACCCCCAGAGGTAAATACAAATACCAAAGTGGAGTAAATACACAGACTGAGGTCACATGTGGCATTAGGCAAAGCTAGAGGCCTCCATCAAGTGCCTGCCAGGAGTCCAAAGATTGAAGGACAGAAGGAGAGAGTGGGATAGGGAGGGGGCTAGGGCTGCAACCCTATAATTTTCTATGTTGGGAACATAATACACAGGTTTCTTGTTTTAGTCTCTGTCATTTTCATGTATCCAAATGTTTCTTAATTTAAAAAACTCTAGGGAAGCCTAAAAACCACTCTGCAGGTTAGAACACGGGGACCTAATTAGGTCCTAAAAGTATTATAGCAATCTGAAGATGAACACAGCCACATGATGAGGAAACAAAGTGAATTCCCATTCCTCTGTGTGGTGCCAGAAACTTGGGGTTCAGAACCCAGGAGCCTGCTGTTGATGGTAGGACAAGAGAAAATCTGCCTCCCCTCTGTCCTTTTTGTGTAGGGTCTCACTAATAGCTTGGAACTTGTAGTGATGCTCCTGTTTTCAGCCTCCCTCATGCTGGGATTACAGACATGTGCCACCACACCCAGACTCCATCGCTGGCTCACTGTGCCCGGAGGCAGGGCTGGCGTGGCATGTAGTGCTAGGGATCGAACCCTGGCCCTGGTGCTTGCCTAACCAAGTGCTTAGTCTGCTTGCTATCTCTCCAGCCCTTGAAAATCTTCCTTTTTGAGCAGAGCAGGTCAAATGCTGGACTAGTGGGGGTACTGTGTGCGTGAGTGTGTATGTATGTGTGCGAGCATGTGTGTAGGTGCCAAGGGTCTTCAAAGGGGAGCAACTTCCTCTGCTTACTCAGCAGGCCCTCAATCTCTCAGCATGACTCTGCAGGGCCTCCTGGGTACTGCAGGGCATGGTCCCTAGCCTCCACTCACTTGATGCCAGCAGTACCCATGTGACAACCAACATGAGTCCTGGGGACAAAAATACTCTCAGCTGGAGCCACCATTCTACATCACAGGGTTTGAGACACAGGAGGACATTCATCCATCCAAAGATAGATGGATTTTCTGGCAGCCCTCCTGCAGGACATGTGGCCTGGCTTATGTACCCTTAGACTGGCCTGCAAGCAAGTCCCACAGCAAGACCTGCTTCTTGCTTCCACATGACCTAGTTAATATATTCTTTTCTACCTGAATGAAATAGATCAGGCCATTTACGTGACCTGACTCACCTATGAGGGAGTTGAGTGCAGAGTAGGAGCTCACACGGCGCATCTTGTCAATGGTCTCAAAGGACAGGATGTACTCCTCATTCTCTGGGCTGCCCAGGGTGCTGCTGGCACTGCTGCTAGTGCTGAGGTTCCCAGGGGAGAAGGCCACTGCAGCACCTGCTATTGGAAACAACAGTGTCAGTGTCTGTGTGGTGCCCGGGGCCCTTTTTCCCATTATATAGCTAAGGGTCCAACTGACTGAAATGTGTGTTGTCTTCTGAAAAGGAACGCTCACTACACACGCACATATACCAACTGTGTAGAGACTGAGATACACACATGCACATATATGCACACAGACACACAAGCAAATAGCAAAAACACATGTGCTTGTGCATACAGACATACACACTAATACAGATGCATAGGTGCCGTGTGTGCACAAAGGTATGGCGCACCCCAATCTCTGCGACTGCACCCCCCAGCACAGACAGCTGTGCTTAGGCTTTTCGCTCAAGTCTGGAGGTGCCCCTAGCCATTCTGGGTACAGAACTACACCTCTGCTACACATATGTCTAGGAGAGATTCCAGACACAAGAACAACTGGCCAATCACCAGTTTATAGTAGGGAAGGTGACAGAGGCAGAGTAGATCTTGCTTAGATGAATGATTCTTAGTAATACCCAAACCTTTCAATCCAAGCACCCCATTTCCAGGGTCTTACATTCTTCTGTCAAACTCAGATTTTGCAGAGACTTGTTGAGGCTCCTCGCAGTAGTGACAGCTCGGATGTTTCCATAGGAGCTCACAGAACGAAGTTTGGGGGTACATGGACTGTCTCGCACTGGGGTCAAACTCCCTCCCTCTAGAAAAGAGGAATACGGAAAATAACTAGTGACAGACTTCAGGATGGGAGCATTCTGCCTCTCTTGAGGCTGCAGCAAGGACCACAAGGCCAATAGAAGAAAGGAAGGACATCTCATTGGAAACCTCACATAAACCTGAGATCCCTGAGGACGAGGACTGATAGTCTATAATTCTATCGTTAGGTTACAGAAGATAACACAGGGCACTACAGCAACTGTGTCTCTGAAAGTCCACATGTGGTGCTCAGCAATGCCTGGCTCTTCAGGGTCAGGACACCAGCAGGACCCCCAGTTGCTGGCATTACTCCACCTCTACCTCACTGGTGCTTTCTTCTGCCAAGCTCATTCTTCACTTCCCCTATTCACTGCCTAAAAGCAGGAATGCTTGGTTATCAATCATGAGCCTTCTTTACTACGATCTGGAGGGAGGGGCAGTGCATAGGTGATAAAATATAAATGTAAGAGATGACTGGATCTTCCTGTGAAAAAGACAAATGTGAGCAGAGCAGCTTCCTAACATGACTCAGTGAAACATGAAAACAACAACACTGATTCAACTGCTCATCACAGGAAGATGGCTAATGTTCTTTTTTGCAAACTCCTATTGAATAAGGTTTACTATCCTTCAAGATTTCCACAAATTTTATTTCCAAAATGGGTAAAGAGGAAAGAAAAGAGTGAGAGGGTCAGTGTGGCCTCTTTTCCTGTCCTCTGAAGGCTGATAAATGCCCAAGACAATGGGAATATTGGGGATTACCCAAAGCAAGGTGTCAGAAATCCAAGCTTGGATTTAGCCTCACTGTATCTGCTGACAGTTCTGGCAAAGCCTGGGGAGGGTCTGTGGCTCCCAAGAGCTGAGGTACCTGTGGCTGCTGGAGAAGGCAAGGGGTAGTTCTTTTCCTCTTCCATGAATTGTAGAGCCACTGTGCAGAAATTGCTCTCATACTGAACTACCAGATGACTCAGTGCCACTACTAGCTCCTGCCAAGAAAGAGAAGGTATAGTTACAAGGGTTAGAAATGGACTGGACAGGAGACCTACAAGCTAAAGCCCGATGCTTGCACTGTGAGTAGGAAGAAGGTCTGCCCCTGGCATCACAAACCAGCATGGATGCAGACTTGGAACAAGTAGTGTAATCAAGGTTGTTGGCAAGTGGCTTCTGAAGGTCCTTGATGGAATATCCTGCACATCTTCCAGAATCTGTTTATGGACTGCTAAGGAAGAATAACCAAACTTGAGAATTTCTGAGGCCATGGTACAGATTCCACACCTCCAGAGTGGGTGAGGTATGAGATATTATGGCCTCTTGTTTATACTTAGTCCGGCAACCTTGGGCTGAAAAATGCATCTCTCAAACTGACCCAACAGTCTCGTGAGCCAGCCCAAAGCAGGACACACCTGAGAAGATGAAGCAGGCTCTTTCAATTTAGTGCAAAATATTTATAGCCATACTAGGTTTCAGTTTCTTGAGAAAGAATGAGAAAAATCCTAGAACAAAAGCAAGATCTTTAGGCCCAAATGGTTCAGTCCAAGGAATGGGCACAAATTATATCTTTTTTTACTAAGTTTAGTGCTACAGCTTGGGCTCTTGAACATCTGAAAGAGCTTTAGGGAACAAAATTGGAATGTACATATATAAAAAGTGAATACTTTTCCCTATTGCTATTCATATAGCTCTAACAAACTTATCTGTAGTCCCTCTTCTTTAAAGAAAGATACTTAGAACAACCTCTTGCTTGCTGCATGAAGCCCCTGACTCCTAAAGCTGGGAGACCTCTGTTAAAGTGCTGAGGGCTTCTAGTGAACCAGACAGAAAGGGCTCTAGATAAATAGGTACCCTTGGGTCCTTTTGTGGGTTCCTCTCTTTTCTCCTCCCCTCCCCTCTTACTCTCCCCTTCTCTCCTCGATGTCCTCTCCTACCTCAACCTCATGTACTCCTTGGTTTCTTCCTGTCACATTACTGATGGCTGCACAACTTAGCCCATTGTTCAAAGGAAGGTTAAGAGTATAGCTCACTTCCAGTGAGACAGCCTACTCATTTTGGGAGGCTATAATGACAGGCTACAGAGACTATTAACAGGCTTTGTGCTTCTAAAAGCTGAAGCTACTGTTCACCTCTGCAGGCTCGTTCTGGAGCCCAACATGAGCAGAGCTCATATGTGAAGCTCTGAATGAGAGATCAGGTGCAGAAAAGGGCCCTTCACAATGGTGCACAGACAGTTGCACCTGTGTCAGCAGCAGCTCTGAGGCTCAGCTGCTCTTACAGTTAATGGTGTAACATTTGGAGGCCACAGGGGACAATATGCAGCCCTAAAGGCTAGTGCACACCAAGTTGCTCATGCTGGAGATGTGAACTACCCTTGAACATGCTAATATCTAGGACCTGTGCTCTTCAAAGGGACAAGAGAAATCACAAGCAGGAAAAGAATAGATCAGTTGAAAGTTGAAATTTTAAACATTTAAAAATTTTATTAAATTGTTCAAAACTTAGGTAGCCAGGAATAGTACATACAGAGCCACACAAAGGTGGCTGGATACACTGGAAGGTTTGTCAGGCAGTACCCCAGGTAGGCTCCTGGGAACCACGTTCCTGAATCTGGAAACTCAGAGGGGCACTATAGTTATCATCCTATTTTTATGCTATTTTTGGGGAAAAAAAAAAAAAAAAAGCCTTTTCTTACTTTGGAAAGAATTTTTACAGCCAGTAAAAGTACCAATCTGCCATGCTTTTCAGTCATGTCCACTTAAAGCAGCCTGACATGGGATGAGGAATAACTGTGCACAGGCTAAAGAAAGCCAGGTCCAGAGATGCAGCTAACCAAAGTTCCTGGGCAGGAGCTGCTGGGACTTAACTGCATATTTTAAAGATCTCACTAGAAAATTTGGCATATGGAACTGGATTGATTTCAGAAGAGGATACAAGATGCAATGCATCCTCTCTTTGTGAGCCGGGGTGAAGCAATTTGCTCAAACGTGTCCCTCTCAAGTCAGTCTTACGGACTGCTCTCCACATGGATAATCCTAGAGCCACACCCAACTGCAGACAGATCCATCTCCTAGGCAGCCAACTATAACTGCTTAGAATCACTGAGAAGGAAGCTGGTAATACACATATCTATCATTACCTGTATGCTCTTTTGCTTCCTGACTCCCTGAAACACATTCTCCACTCAGAAACACCCACCAGGTTTGTCATGAGACCACCAGAAAACCAGAGTGTTTCTCCCAACCCACTTTTCTAGCTGGGATAGTAGCAGGGAAGTGAGGTTGTATGGAACCAGCTTTTTATAGAGGCTGAAACAACCATGATACTTCTATGGCTGAATGGCTAAGAGTTTTTTAAGTCTATAAAACTGCTTTATGTTGTCACTGGCAAAGACAAGGCATGGGACACACTGCATAAACCTTCTGTCACGTGTGGGGATCACTGCTGTTGCTGAATGGAAAGACATTTGCATGTGCCCTGGGCAGGAAGGGGCCAGTCCTTTAAGCTTCAGGAGGTACAGCCTGCTAAGCACCTTCAGATGAAGGAGGCACATAAGTGTCTGATGAGGAAACACACTCAAGAAATCTGTATTTAATGACCTGCATTTACATGATGCACAAAGAAGGAAACTGAGTCCTTGTTGTCCCAGATAGGTAGTGCTGGCTCAGCCTTCATTGTGCTCTGTAGTTGCCTCAAGAGCCAGGGCCACATACCTTCCGGACCATGGGGCTCCCATCATTGATCAGCTGGGCCAGCATCATGGCTACATTGTGGTCGATGGTGGTGGAGTGGTCTGTTCTTTCAGCAGAGTTGCCCACAAAGGTGCCCAGTGCAAAGACGGCTGCACAGCGGACCTGTAAGACAGAGGACAGAGAGTTACAGACATGCCCATGGCTGGAATGTCTATTGTCTGCATTTCTAACGAGACTGTCTACAAGTTAATCCAATGCAGTTCGGATAAGCACAGCTCAACTCAATTCCACAAGTACTATTGAACAGCACTCTAAGTCCAGAGCTATACTTGTATTGATGGAGCAGAAATAGGGGAAAAAGCCAGAGGGAACCAAAGTATGTATCATCAAGGTTTCAATGTAAGGGCCAAAAGTCAGGGAGCGGAGGTGGGAACTGTTTTTCTTCTGGAATCAATGGACCAGCCAGGTACCCTGGGATTTGTGGCTGAAAGACCTGAGCTCTGGGGAAGGGCTAGGCTGAGTCATGGATACAAGGAAGAGAGAAGTGGTGAAGGCGTGGGCCTTGGAGACATAGACTGTCAGAGTGGAGGCCTAGAGTGGGCCAAGTCCCTGGGGACTGAGAAAGAGTGAGGCAAATGACACCTGACTGGCCATGATGTCTGGGGACTGTGGTCAGCTCTCCTCTCCAAGGTTGTGTGATTCTAGAGTGCAGGCATTATGGAGCTTCTATTTCCTTATCTCTACATATCCTGCATGAGGCTGTGGGAAGATTTAATGAAATAATATACAAGAATCCCCAAATTTCAACAAATGGTACTAAAACTTTGCTCTATGGAACAGCCAGTGAGCACACACACTTAGATGGATTCAGAGTCACAGCGACTTAGGATGGGAAGTCTGGTGGCTCTCAACCCCCCTGCCCCCATGAGCATCTGTCACCCTGAGAGCCATGGCATGAATAGCAGGCTTTAGGCTCTAAAAAGATACTTAGCTTCCCACTCTGCGCAAAGCAGGTGGCACAGTGCCTGGGCTCAGCAACAGTCCAGGGTGGCTGCTCCTGGGTTTGTGTACTTCATGCTCCTTTTAGTTTACATGTGAACTCCACAGGTGCCTCTGAGTCAGATGAAGGAGCAATGTACAGGAAGAAGAGGAAATCAGGCCATCATATCTTAAGAAGGCCTCTAGGAGACTGGGGAGATAGCTCAGCAGTCTAAGTGCCTGTCCTCTAAGTACAAAGACCCGAGTTTGATCCTGGTCACCACATGCCACTCTGGCACTGTTCCTGCCCCGGGCATGCTGAGTGGGCCATCGAAACTGGGTGTGGTGGTGCATGACTGTAATCCCAGTGCTGGGGAGGCTGAAATAAGAGGATCACTATAAGTCTGAGCTGTGTAGTGAGACCCTGTACCAAATATATAACATTAAAAAGAAAAAGAAAAAGAAAAAGAAAAAAGGCCTTCAGGGGGATCATGCCATACAGAACTGCCTAGGAAAAACACCTGTTTTCTCTATAAGGGGCCAGACCTGAAGTGTTGTGTATTTCACTAGCTTGAGGACAAGCGAGAGCTCAGACCACCAGCATCATGATTAACATTGTGGCTGAGCATGGCAGCAGGGAAAAGGGTCCTATGCCCTGTTTGAAGACTCAGAATTTGGCCACCTCTCCCTAGCCAACCTGTGTGCATCAGAGGCCCTCTGTCCACCTCTTTCTGTGAAGCCAAGGTTCATGTTGCCCATGAGCAAGGTGACCCTCTCTTGGCTGTGTGCCCTGAGGCTCCCTGCTCCTCAAAGAGGAGTTGAACCTCAGCCATTCCTTAAGCCCCTGCTAGCACCCTATAAGGGCCCCATGTCCCCAGGTCCTCTGACTCCAAGGTACACTTTTATTTAACCCAGTACTGGGGATTGAACTCAGAAGCTTGCATCTGCCAGGCAGGTGCTTATGCTGCTGAACTATCTCCTCAACTCTCCAAGGTATACTTCTGATTCCATGGTCACTTGTCTCCCTCACAAGAGCACAGGACTGTGATATAAAAGATATTCCAATGCTCACAGCTGGCCCAGCTATATCACTAATACTAATGAGTACTAGAGAAGTTTAATGACCAAAGAGCCTGGGTTCACCCTGGGAGGCTGTCTATGTCCAATGTGGTTACTTGTTACCGTGTAACCACAAGGTGAGGAAGCTGTGAGGATGACATAGGAAGTGTATGCTGAAACACAGGAAAACCTCCATTTCCTTGCTAAGCAAGCCTATCTAATCATTTCTTCTCTAACTCCCTATCTGTGGCATCCAACCTACAAGCCTCAGTCTGAATGAAAATACCAGTCTTATCCCAGTGAGCTCTGCCACTGCCTTCTGTCCTAAGACAGGTAGACATGACAATTCCTGGGTAGCTCTTCTAAGCCTGGCAGATTTCTGAAGCACTTCCCAAATGGTACCTCATTTCTCAGAGCCATGTTTGTTCTTTTTGTTTCAAATTCCAGTTTTCACTTTGCCTCATGTTGACAGTTTAGGGAAACTGCTTTCTTGCTTTAAGTCCATGTGTAGCTGAGGTGAGGATGAAGAAGAGGAGGCTGGCCTGTGCTATTCTGTGCAGCAAATGTGACAGGGCCTAGTCTATGTTGCAGGGCCAGACCAGGCTATTCTGCTGGGCTTAGGCTGAGGAGAGTGCATTTCCTCTGACCAGCATTCATTTATCTCAGGGACACTGTTTCTGCCTTCTTTGGCTGTGAGGACGCTCAGACCAGCTCTATGACCACTTTGTGTAAAGAGACATATGGGTTGCCTTTCTGTTGGCCTTAGTTCTTGAGGAGACATCTTGTTTATGTCCTACCTTCCTGTAGGTTGTCCTCTGCAACTCATTTCATCAGTGCAATGTTATGTACTGTTTTTTTTTTTTTTTTTTTTTTAAAGACACATTTATTCAGCGTCATGATCAGACTATTACATTTAGCAATCAACAGCATGGGTGCAAAAAAAGGTCTACATTAAAACCCTTTGTTCTTTCCACAGAACAGAAACTAAAATAACCTGTTATACAATTAGTCACAAATACAGTCCTCGAGTTTTTTGCCCATACGCATGAGTATTGTCTAAAACATGTCTTCTTTGTAGCAGCTAGGCCCTGCCACCACTGTGCTTGGCTGAGTTCACAAATCTGTTGTAACCTGTAGCTTCCCTGTCACTTCTCTGGCTCTCCTCTCCTGCTAAGCTTTGTTTCCTGGAAGTGTTTAAAACCTTCTGCCACTGCCATAGCTACTGCTGCTGCTGGAGCCACCATAGCCACCTTGATTTCATGGTTTGGTAAAATATTGGCCTCCACCTCCATAGGGCCCAGAACTTCTGCCTCCAAAGTTTCCTCCCTTCGTGGGTCCAAAATTTGAAGACTGACTGTTGTAATTGCCAAATTCATTATAGCTTCCACCACCTCCATAATTGCTTCCATCATTACCAAATCCATTGTAGCCATCTCCACTGCCACCATATCCACCCCCACCACGGCTGCCACCAAAGCCACCTCGACCACTGAAGTTTCCTCCGCGACCGAAACTGTCATTGCCACCAAAACCTCCTCCATGACCATCACCAAAGTTTCCAAAACCACTTCGACCTCTTTGGCTAGATGAAGCACTAGCCATCTCCTGCTTGGACAGGGCTTTCCTCACTTCACAGTTGTGGCCGTTCAGTGTGGTATTTTTGAATGACAATCTTATCCACAGAGTCATGGTCATCAAAGGTTACAAAAGCAAAGCCTCTCTTTTTTCCACTGCCTCGGTCAGTCATAATTTCAATCACTTCGATTTTTCCATATTGTTCAAAATAATCTCGTAGGTGATGTTCTTCAGTATCTTCTTTAATGCCACCAACAAAGATCTTCTTCACCGTTAAGTGGGCACCTGGTCTTTGAGAATCTTCTCTTGAGACAGCTCTCTTTGGTTCCACAACTCTTCCGTCCACTTTGTGTGGCCTTGCATTCATGGCTGCATCCACCTCCTCCACAGTGGCATAAGTGACAAACCCAAAACCCCTGGAACGCTTGGTGTTCGGGTCTCTTATTACCACGCAGTCTGTGAGTGTTCCCCATTGCTCAAAATGGCTCCTCAGACTCTCATCAGTTGTTTCAAAGCTCAGCCCTCCGATGAAGAGCTTCCGTAGCTGTTTGGGCTCCTTGGGAGACTCTGACTTAGACATGACGGCAGTCCGAAGAGAGCCTGATGATGCTTCCTCCGCGGTATCCACCAGCAGAAAGGAATAAGCTATTAAGTGTACTTTTGTTTTGTTTTTATGAGACAGAGTTTTGCCATGCAGTTAGGCTGTCCTCAAACTCACTTCGTAGCCCAGGCTGACCTCAATCAAACTCACATGACTACAGTTGCACACCACCATCCCTGGCTTCTGTATTTCTTGATGCGCTAAGCCCTTTGGATAACAAACTGCAAAGGAAGTAAATTTATTTCCTGAGGAAATCTTTGCATGAGGACCTCTCCTTCTCAGAGGACCTTACTGTTTCCTGGTCCCAAGACAGCAGTGAGGGCAAATGGCCTGCAGTGTCACTGGCAGCTGAGGTTGACTCAAGAGGGAAATTAGAGGGACTACAGAGTCTAGGGTTCAGCTTCACCTGGGGTAGGAGACCTCAGAGAGCCCTTCTTAGCTGCCCTACTGGGTGAGGGTCCTGGGGGCAGACAGCCCCCATACCAGCTGGCTGAGGAGCCCACCTAGTTCCTGCACAGGGTTGGAAGTTAGCATTCTGGCCTTCAGGGGCAGACACTGACCTGTCTCTGCAGCCTTCACCAGAAAGACAGAGGTTGAGGTGCTGGCCTGGGTCCCCCTCAACAAAGCAAAGATGTGGCCCAGGGTCCATAAGAAGCCTGTAGCACTCCATAGCTTATGAACACTGGCTCTCAGTCTGTACAAATGGTCGTTAAGCATGGGGCTCCTGTGTCCTACTCCTGTGAACCATGTGCAACCCTGAACTTCCTAGATGTAAAATTGTGCTGGGTCTGAGTAGGGCTCTGTGTGCTGTTCCTGGGACCTTTTCACACACAGTATCCTAGGGGCAACTACAGACCTGATACCAGACCCGGCTTGGAACCACATCTGTGAGGCTGACTCACCTCAGGGATAGGGTCGGAGAGGAGGCTGTAGAGCTTTTCGTGGGCGCTGTCCCTTACCCCGCACCATCGTGCTGAGTCGAAGTTCTGCCAGATCCTTCCCAGACAGATGGCTACCCACTGGCGCAGCAGGGGGTGCGGGTCGCTGAGCTGCTCCAAGCAGATGGCGATCAGGTTCCCTTGGAGGCAGGCTTCCTGGATGGGCAGCATGACAGACAAGTGGTTCTCTGCCCTGGGACCCAGGACCCAGCAGAAAGAAACTGGCTGGGGTCGCAAATTACAGGAAGCCTTGCTCCGTCACATTGCAAGACTTGCTCAATTTCCTTATTTTAAACCTCAGTGATTCCATTTTACCTGACTCTCCTGTGCTATTGCCCGTTGCTGGTATGCTCTGGTGGCTCCACCTTCTCAGGTGACTGGCCATCAGACCACCAGAACAACAGTCTTCTCTCTAAACAACATGGCTTGGGTTGTACTGCTGTTCCCCTGCAATACTAGGTGGGTAGGTGGCTCTGGGTGCTGCAACTGTTGTGGCACTCACCTGCCCAGTGGTATAGCTGTTGACAATCACAGCGAGAATAAAAGCTGTCATGGTTCTGTGTTCAGCCTGCAAAACAAGAATCAGCTATGAATGTGTATTCCTACAGGAGGGATGAATGGTTCCCTCAGTGGAGTGATGTCATCTTTCAGAACCTTTAGGACAAGCTATATATCTAACTGAAGTAATGAGAGCCAGCCTCCTTGCTGTCTAATTTGACCACAAAAAAGAACAGCATTGTTAAAGGACAGACTGCTCTCTTGATGGCTAATGCCACAGCACAGGCCAAAGCCAGCCTGTGCCCTCCATTAGAAGGTCATCAATGGAGTTCATTCATATAAATTGTTGACCAGCTTGCTCATCCTCTATGCTTTCTATGTAAGCCTACTGTCCCCTGCTCAAGCACAGTGATAGCAAAATGAATGAAAGGAACAGTCTAACTTTTTTTTCTGGATTGATCAATTTTTCTTCCTTCTTCTCTGTGCCATATCCATTTGGAAACCAGCCTACTTCTGACTTCTTAGTGGTGCTTTAATTTCTTACCCTCCCCAGGGCAGCACAGCTAGGCAGGGAAGTGCAGTGGGCAGTTACCTCTTCAGTACTGCAAAGGTTGCCCTACCGTTGCCAGAGTTGGTGCTGCAGTGAGACTGTGCTACTTGTGTGGTGCTTTTCACCCCTTGCAGGTAACCTTCCTGTGTGCTCTGGTTGCTTTCACGGCATGAGCCTTTGATATTCATTACTTTCACTGTGTTCTGTCCATATGGATTTGTTTTTATTTAACTTCTCAAGGATTCACTGTACTTTTAAAATCCAAATACTCATTCTTATCTTCCAATGTGGAGAGTTCTCAGCCACAATGTTTGAAACCTGCCTCTGCCTTTCTGAATGTTAGTGACAGTGAACTTTTTCACTATGTTCCTCACCCTTGCACACCCAGGAGGCACCTTCTCTATTTTTTTTTCCTGTTTTTTTTTTTTCTCTGACTTTTTATTGCACATCTTTTCTGTTTTTAGTTCATCTGCTGAGTTTTCAAATGATGACAACTCTCTCTTCTTCCATGACAGACTCTATTTTTTTAACTGTTTTTTTTGAATCTATTTTTTAAAATGTATTTGGTACAGGGTCTTACTATGCAGCTCACACTCGTAGTGATCCTCCTGTTTTCAGCCTCCCCAGCACTGGGATTATAGGCGCCACCACCCTGGTCTCAGTGGCTGGCTCAGCACACCCGGGGTGGGGCCGGTGCGGCATGTGGTGCTGGGGATGGAACCCTGGTCCCTGTGCTTGACTAAGCTTAAGTAGGTGCTTAGTCCACTGAGCTATCACGCCAGCACCTGAATCTATTGTTTCTGAGGATAAATAATACACAAAAAATACTCTGTTGTCTAATGCAGACAGAAGACTATTTCTGCAGAACACAGGGCTTAATGATTGACATAGTGAAATTGTCTTACTCAGTTGTTCTAAACATGCTCATTCATGCTGATCTCCCTTTGCCTGGGGCCCTGTGAGCTGCTCTGGGTGCCAGGCCTCCTTTGTGACCCTGTGCGCTCCTATCCTTTGCCTGTTCTTCCTGCCTGGGTCTGCAGGCATCCTCCAGCAAGGCTTAGGGTCTGGGTCCTGTGTGACCCCAAGAGATTTTGAGGATCTGCTTATAGTTTTTCACGATGACTTCCTGCTATGGCTCTAACATGTGGGTAGAGGAACTCAGAATTTGCATTGTGAGTGGAGTAGGTCTCTACTTTCAGTTTATCCTCATGGCCCTTTTCTTTTTCACCAAGCATAGAGAAACAAACAGTCACCCTGCTTGTCCTCTTTTATGAGGGTCAGAGTGTGACTTGCAGGCTCATGGAGTGAGCAGGGCCTTGCAGCCCTTGAAGACTGAGGGTCTTCATGGAGAGCACCGACTTGAAGCTGCCACGGTGGTGCCTCTGCTGCCTACCAGAGCTCTCCATGGGTTTCTTAGTCTCTGGCATTTGAGAATTCTCTTTCTTTCAAATTCAGCTATGTCCTTCACTTGGAGTAGCTAAAGTGGGCCTTCTTCATGTCAGCTGAGCTCACTGTTTTGTTGTAAATTGCAGCTTAGTGCTCATTATCTCTTGTTTGATTTGTATAGTATTCTTACCCTGGAGAACAGGGAAGTAGTTATTTCCAAAACTCATATAAAGTATATTAAATTGCCTATGATAGTGTTTAAGAATATCACTTAAGTGAAGCACATAAGTATTATTATTTACCTTCCATATACCAGTACTGTTTATCCTGTTGTTGGTGTTTTTTCTATTCATTTATTTATTTATTATCATGGGAATAAAACTCAGGACCTTGTGTTGCCAGGCAGGCACTGTGTCACTGAGCTGTATCTTTGGCTCACCACTGTCGTCATCATTTAGTTTAGAATATCAACTAGAGGGTAAAATTACATACAAAGGTTTTTTTTGTAAGCAAAGTCATGTAAACCTTTGTAAATGTGCTGCTATAGTTAAACATTATGGCAATGTTCAGTTACAGTAATAAATTATTTACATCTATTTTATCTTCAATATGCTGGGAGGTAGAATTAAAGAATAAAGAAATTAACAATAAAGCACTATAAGAAGGCAGTATATAAGCTATTATTTACTTCATCTAATTTTCAATTTAACAAAAGTATTTAAAACTTGAAATTTCAAGTGACCTATTCTTTCCTTCATCCTTCCCCCCTTTTTCCTGCACTTAGGAATTTTGGATTTGTCAAGTTCTAGGGCCTTTGGAGACACTGAAGGTACTGTATCGGGGGTGTGTGTGTGCTTATTTGTCCATTTAGTTCAGTGAGGGAGAGCTGTCACTACAAGGCAAAGGTGTGCAGTGAAAGCTGATGGGTGCAAAGCAAGCTGACCCAACCTGAGCACACAGATGAACTAATGCCAGTTACATAGGGGCATGGTATACAGCAGAATATCATGTGGACAAGGGAGCAGGCCCCCTCCTCCACCTCATGTCTGAGTTCCCAGCCTGGCTGTCCTCTGTGGAGACGCCGTCCAGTGAGCAACTAATCAAGAGCCACCTTGTCTCTTGTCAGTGGAACTGCAAAACATCATGTGTAAGCAGAGAGAGAGGACACTGAGCTTGGGCCCACCCAAAGAAAAACGAGGTTTGGTCCTTACTGGCATGTATGGGTCTGCTAAGACGGAGAGGAAGTACTTGTGACCGTTGTCCTTCACGAGGTCAGCTTGGCATGACTGGAGGGAGAAAGGAAACACGGAACGGTCATGAGGTTGGACACCTGAGGGGCTTTTGAGGCTTCTTGTGAAGTATGAACAAATGAGCAGACAGGGGCTTCATCCCCATCATTTCTCCTCCTAAGTTTGGTTTGCACTTGAGAAAACAGTTCAGGCTATTGCTTACATACACATCCTGGGCTGAGGAAAAAGGGTCAGAATCTTATATATTCTTAGAAGTGAAGTGACCCATAATATTCTCTTAAGAACACCTTCTGACCTCCTGGCCATAGGATGGCTGGTATCGGAGCTGGACGTAGCCCATAGTCTCTGCCAAGTCCAAACCCAATCTCCGGCTGAGCTGTATAGTCCTACAGGGATTTGGCCTCACAAAATACTTAAAAATTTATCTGTGTGAATACAACTCTTAGGAATCATTAAGTTATATTTCACAGGCTTCTCTACAGGCCTAGTTCCTAACCACAGGGAGAGCTCTAGGGAGAAAGTATAATGTGTCAAAGGACCCTCCAGGTATTCAACTTTTTCCAATTCCTCAAATCACCCTGTCCTGGTGATGACACTATGTGTGGCTGCTGTGCATCATACAGTTCTAAAGCCAAACCCAAAGAGCACTGGTTTGCTCCTGAAGAGATGGTGTAACCACACCAAACTCACTGCTGCCGTACATGTGGTAAATTTGTAAGAGTAGAGGTGCCACAGTGGTCAGCCCCATTTCCTCAGGGATGCTCTTATGAAAAGAAGTTCTCTCCTCACATCACTAAACTGATAACACAAGGCCTTGCTCTGTTGCGATGGGAATTAGACAAGATGGAAAGGGGACACTGGTCCAGGTTGTAGCCTTCTAACCTCAGGTGCAAAAGCCAATTAAGCCTGCCAGTTTTATTTATTTATTTATTTTTATCATATTTAT